TGATTATTAGTGTCTGGTTTTGTAGATTTGGTGTGGGCTTCTGCTGTTTGAGTGTCAGCTTTCAGAAACTGTGTCACAAGTAAAGATTTTGTGTGGTCTTTAACACTATCAGAACATTACCACAAAAAAATTTGGAATATTTATATATCTTTCATTTAATTTTTCATAACCATTTTAGTTGAATGTTCATCTAACGTTTTTAAATGTTACTACTTGTTTCATAACATTCTCATAATGTTTCAGAACACTCTGTGTGTGTGTCTGTGTGTGAGTGTGAGTGTGTGTGTGAGTGAGTGAGTAAGTGAGTGAGTGAGTGAGTGTGTGTGTGAGTGAGTGTGTGTGTGTGTGTGTGTGAGTGAGTGTGTGTGTGTGAGTGAGAGTGTGTGTGTGTGTGTAAGTGTGTGCTATGACAGAGGGTCAGTGTGAGTTTAAGTGTCTCGGGTCAGTCAAACTCTGTTTACTCAGTATTGAAAGGTTCTTTTCTTTCATACATCTGTCAGAATCTCAGCCACCAGCCGTAATTGGATTCAAAAGTCATGAAAACCCATGCAAAGCTCCTCAGGAGTCTGCACATCGACCGTGAGCCTCATGTGTATGCCATGCCATTTCTTCATCTAAGCAGGCTTGTTATAACACTTCCACAAACTCTTGGAGTAAGTCACACTCACTGTTTCACAGGCTCGAATCTCTCTTCCCTCAAACGTTTGAGAGGACTCATGGGATTGAGTGTAACCATGTAGCCCTGGTGGGAAACCGGTGGTCCTATCATGGAGCTTAATGCCTGTTTGACCTGAAAACAATGCTGGACTACTTCTGCCATCATAAATCATGCTGTCTATATCTGTAACCCACAGAGAAAACGCACAGGCCAGAGAGAAACCCAACAATATGCCTGCTGGATATTCATTTTTCCATGTAACACAGACCTCGTGTTCAGTTACATAATAATAGCACGCAAACTTATGAACCCTGTGAACCCCTGTCTACTTTCAAAGAGCATAACAGTATCACAGTTGGTATAGCTGGATATTGAGGATATGTGAATTAATTATATGCTTCACTTATACAACAGTTCAATAAACAAGAAGTTAAAATTGAGTAACATACATTTCAGTCACAATATTAGTATCTTCACTTTTGATCCACAATGAAAAGAGACATCGAAACAAAAGCATCTCTTACACAGCATAGCAGTGTTTTCTTCCTGAAAACAATGAACTAATGCTTTTGAACTAGTGCTGTCAATCGAAGAAAAGAAAAAAAAAAGTAATTAATCGCACATTTTCCTGAAATTAATCGTGATTAATCGCGATTAATCCCACCTAACAGTAAAGTTTTTAAATATACTTTTAAATTTCAATAATTTCACATTCAATCTTCAAATTAATGTACAAACAACATAAAGACAGCATATCTGTTTAATGGCATCTTTTTTTATGACTGAAGGCCAGTACTGATACTAATACTACTGATGTCTCTATGAAATAGTTTTTCCCCCTAATATTTAACCATTGACTACAGCCATTCAACATTACAGTATAATTGAGAGCTATCAATTTTAACATTTACTAGACTTTAAAGGGGTCATATGATGCGATTTCAAGTTTTCCTTTCTCTTTGGAGTGTTACAAGCTGATTGTGCATAGATAAGATCCCTGAAGTTGCAAAGACTAAAGTCTCAAAACCAAAGAGATATTCTTTATCAAAGTTAAGACTCTGCCACGCCCCCCTAAAACGGCTCGTTCTAACACGCCCCCACATATCTACCTCACTATGTGGAAATATTAGCACAATGCGGCCCAAATGTGCACGCAAAGAAAGAAGGCATGGTTTCAGTAACAGCAGTTAGTGTTGAAGCAACATGTCAGGGAGACGCTGTGTGTTTAAGTGGTCAGCTGTCTTAACCGCGGCTTGTGTACTGCATCATCACTGCGTCTGTCAGGCGACTCTGTTGCCCTTTCGGGCTTGAACTGATGGTAAAACTAACGACATTATTAACTGTCTTGATATTTACTTTGAAAGCTGACGCTCGTGATTATGGTAAGGGGCGTTACATTTCCGGTTACATTACACTTGCGGTGTTCGGCCAATCCCAATGCACTGGGTCAGCTGGCCAATCAGAGCAGACTGCGCTTGTCGGAAGGAGGGGCTTTGTAGAAAACGAAGCGTTTGAGAGAGGCGGGGCATAGAGGACCTACAATAATGTACAGTATTTGAAAAATAATGTGTTTTTTGAACATTAAAGCATGTCAACATATTCTGTTACACCAAATACACCAAATAATGATCTTTAAAAAAAGCATCATATGACCCCTTTAAAAAATAACTTCTAATTTAAATGAACTTAAAACAATCTTCACAATCTTCACAAATTAAATAAAGTTATCAAACACTAAATTCTAAATTAAATATAGATGAATCCTCAAAGCTACAAAAGTGATTGATTTCCTCTTTTTTCTTTTGTTCTTTGATGAACAGCATCACAGCAGCTGGTTATTAGGTTACTAAGATGTGTGTTATTATTACACACATCTTAGTTTCTCACAACTCTTTACCTTTACCCACTTCAGGTCTTAAAGTCTCTAGTAATGAGCTGACGAGTTGAATTGGGTGTGTTAGATGAGGGAGACAGTGCTGGACTGCTCCAGGACAGTTTTGAAAACCATTTCAGAGACATATTCTTAAATGTGACTCATATAACATATTACATCCATGCACAGTTTTAAGGCAGCTTTAATTGCCTTTTTTAGTAACTTTATGACTTAACTGACAACGACATTGCATGCACGTAGTTTCATTCGCGCTTTGATATGAAAAGATACAGGCTACAGCGCGCGGCAGCACGCACTACGAGCACAGTACCGTTTCCACGCTCGTTTGACTCGCGCCTGGCGATGAAGTGAAGCTGGAGCGCACGTCTGAAACGTCTCCCATTTGATGGGTTCGTAAAGATGTTCTGTGACTAAATAAATGCACTTCTTGTCAAGAAAAAGTGCAGTTGTGAGTGGGGTGGCCAACCCGAGCCCCACCCCTGCGTTAATTGCGTTAAATATTTTTAACGCAAAACCTGACACTGTTCATGTGTAGAAAGCGTGCACTGATTATAGTCAACTACATTTTACTAGGTTCTAGTTTGTAGTTAATCTACAGGATAGTTGAGTGAATGATTCAACGACTCACTCTAGTGTTGGTCCTGTTAAATAAAACTAAAACGATTAAAAAATATTTTCATTAGTTGATATAAAGTTAAAATAACAGAATAGAAATATCGCCTTGGCAACTAACTTGAAATATATATTGAATAATGTGGTAATTTTATATTGTGTGAACATTGATTGAAAGCAGTCTTAACTCTCATGGTTCTGTAAATGATTCCTCACTTTAGTATATAACAGATTTATTGTTTTATTTTTATGTTTTTGCATGTGTAATATAAACTGACAGTTAACAATAGCTGGCACACATCTAATGGCGCGCCTCAGATGATCACATGATCTGTCCTTGTTTTTTCATATATGTAGTAATTAGTTTGTACACTGTACAGCACTTTGGATCGAAAATGTCTTTACTGTCACCTTTGATCAATTGAATGAGTCCTTGATGAATACAATTGATTTTTGTTGTTGTTGTTGTTTTTTCTTACATTATATTTAGAATGAAAAGTATGCAAATGGGATGCAGCCACAGCTGATTGACTAGCTGATTGATTTTTTTTAAAGTTGCAAATAGACGCAGATTATTAACATAAAATGTCATGTTTAAGACAATGTGTTTCTTGCAATTTCTGTGTAATTATTAGTGAAATGAGTAGTTTGTGGGTGCACGTACTGTCGATGGGGCTCCGGATGGGGTAGGATTTGGTGTAGTTGGCCACACAGCCGATGAGCTGCGGACTGATGCTCTGGCAGTACTCTTTGACCGCGTTGATTTGGGAGACGGTCGGCGACGAGTCTGTGCGGAAGATGGCCTGACAGTACTCACGGCAGTTTGTGTGTCTCCCTGCATAACTGCAGCATACTGAGCCCACTGGACACACACACACACACACACACTGAGCCATCACCACACACTGATCTCATCATTTCTACATCTGATCATGCAGTCTGCCGCTGTTTAATAAAGGCAGTCTGCAGTATGTTTGCTCTACTAATGCACACAAATAAGTGCTTCATTCAGTCCTGAGCTCGGCGAGTACAGGTTAAAGGTCGTGACCTTGCCTCCCAGGCACAGAAACAACTCTATCTCATTTCCTTCTCGTCCTCAAACAGGAAAGTCAGTCTCTGAGGACTGAATCACAGAAATGAGGTACAGACGGACTGATAACCAAAGACCTTGTCATGCAGCTTTGCTTACTTTCATTTTTGGTGATACAGCTGTAGAGTGGTTTCTGCAAGAGAGAAATACAATGAATTACAATATTGCGATATAGTTTATGAAACAGTGTTTCTGTCTCTAAAATTCACCAAAAAGTGCTTGTTCTTTTCACAAAGACACAAAAACCTTCTATTATATTTACCATTATTTTAATGACCTTTAATTATTATTTATTGTTTTTTTAATTATTGTTATGTAATGCAGCTTTTCAAACTTCAGAGAATTATTTCTGAATCCAAGTACTAAGTACGCTACTGCCGGGGTCAGTGTGGGGTCAGTAAGATTTTTTTAAAGAAATTAATACCTAAAGACATTTAATATAAAAACAAAGACATTTATAATGTTACAGTAGATTTCTATTTTAAATAAATGCTGTTCTTCTGAACTTTGTTCATCTGTGAATCATGAAAAATAAAATGTATCACAGTTTCCACAAAAATATTGTGCAGCACAACTGTTTTCAACATTGATAATAATCAGAAATGTTTCTTGAGCAGCAAATCAGCATATTAGAATGATTTCTGAAGATCATGTGACACTGAAGACTGGAGTAATGATGCTGAAAATACAGCTTTGATCATAATTATAAATTACAGTTTAACAGTTACAATAAATTACAGTTTAACACATATTCATATAGAAAACAGCTGTTTTACATTGTAATAATATTTCATAATTTTTACTGTGTTTGATCAAATAAATGCAGCCTCGGTGAACAGAAGAGACTTCTTTCAGAAACATGAATAAATCTTGCTGACCCCGTACATGAATGGTAGTGTGCTAATAAAACTAAGGCACATTTTATCTTTAAAACCTAAAGGCTGATGCTAGTTTATTTCTGACAGCAGCTCTGATCATTGCAAGCATCAGAAACATCCATTCTAATGCTATATAAAGGCTTGGATTCTTTTGGCTGCAGTCGAGTCGAGCAGCGCTGAAGAATGCGTAAGAAAACCAAGGGCACACGATGAAAGAGCTACAGTTGTTGTGAGAGCGATCCAAAGCAAACGTTGTGCCGATGGTCTGCATGTCTGTCTGGATCTCAAGAGCCGTCTAATAAAACTAAGGCACATTTTATCTTTAAAACCTGCTGAAGAATGCGTAAGAAAACCAAGGGCACACGATGAAAGAGCTGAAGTTGTTGTGAGAGCGATCCAAAGCAAACGTTGTGCCGATGGTCTGCGTGTTTGTCTGGATCTCAAGAGCCGTACGGACTACAGTCTGACCGATGGAGAACAGCATCAGAGCTACAGCATTTCTATCGGGGATCATTACTCTTTTATAACACTCAGCCAGCAGAGCTACAGATTGATTGCGCTGTAATGTGGCGACAGCATGTCCAGTTCGAGGGAAATTATATTTTTCCATTGCTCAACACTAACGAAACGACCTCATAAAGAGGTTTGGGCCTGTGCTAGAAACCAGGCTTTAAATGAATAAATACAAATAAAGCTTGAGGCTCATTTCAGACTGCAGAGCTGCTAGACAAACAAACAATAAAGTCAAATATAAATATCAGATGAAAAACTAATAAATAAGTAAATTAGATAAAAACTAATTAAAGAAATAAAAGAAATGTAAAAATAATAATAAATACTGCAAATAATACTAACAACACTAGTATGATCACTAAACCCTAATTTGGTGTTCCTGGTCAAAAATGACAAATTTCTTGTTATGCTATAATATCACCAAATCTTGGATTCAATCTTTTTATCAACTTGTTTTCTTTCATTTGGCCCAGGTTTCGTGTTCCTTTAGGAACTGATTGATTGCAGGCCTCATTGATCTGAGCTTAAACCTCAAACATCGGCAAAATAATGTTAGTTTGTTTCACTTTTTGAGGTGCATAAGCTCAGATCAATAATTCCTACAATTAATAAGTGGTAAGAATGCAGCATAATGTGAACCAAAAACACCACAAGTATAACAGGATGGGGGAGAAAAGTCTAAAAAATGACCGGAACACAACAGGAGGGTTAAAGAAACAGGTTATTCACACCGGACAAGTTACGTGGCGAAGTATTATCGGAACAAACATGTTCTTAATCTGAACTTTATGAAAGCCTGCTTCTACCTCGAAGAACGAAAATAAAAGCACCTGTGACAATCTCACATCTGTGACTTTTCTTCATAATTGCAAATATCTCTCACAATCCGCATTCTGAATTTCTCACAGTTGTGACTCTCTATTTCACAAAAAAAAAAAGTGTCACATTTATTTCAAACTTTCTCGTAATTACCACAATGACTTATTTTTACTCTTGAAGTGGAAACAGGCTTCGACATTTGTAAACTCTATGAAGTAAAATAAAGGTAAACTCCCACCTCTGTGTCTTTCTTGCATACTTTAGCGATGTCATTTTTAGACGACGCCTGAACAGAAAGCAGAAAAACACGCATCTAAGAACCACAGGTGAGCCGATGAGCTTACAGACTTCTCTACATGTTTATATAGATTATATAAGATCTGTTTACTGACCTGCTTGCAGTCCCTGCGGCATTCAGCGGAGATGGCCAGCTCACAGCAGCCCAAACCCACCCATCCGTCTGACTTCTTTGATGCTCCTGGAAATGTTCAGAATCACAGTGAGCTTTACAGTGGATCTAATGCAGAAGCATACATGACACACTGATGAGTCTCAAAACAACACGGCATTCATATTGCATGCAGATGTGCTTTGAATGTGGAGAGTTTGGCTTGGGTTCTTTATGAGCTGCAGCTCAACGCTCTGGACGGGGTTTTAATGGCCATGCAAGGTGTAGCTTGACTGATGTGAAGTGTGATATCTGTGCATCTGGGAGGCATTATGTCTTCAGAGACTCTAAATCCTCTCTTGTTCTTTTAAGGCTGGTACAGGTGTGTTCTGCAGACGGCTCTCAACGTCTCCATCTGTGTTCACGTACCCGGCAATGTGTTGTTGATGCAGATCCAAAGTTCACTCTGCGAAGCGAAAAGGAGATGTTTAGCACGACAACAACTCAGAACACATCATCTACTCGCTCTCATGTGCTTCCAAACCTGAGGATTCTTCTTTGAAGAGCAGAAGAAGTTATTTAGCAGGTCATTATTTACTGAAAATATCATTTCACGCAACACGAGGGAGCTGCTGATGACTGTGTTCAGGTTCAAAATAACAGATTTAACATGTGAGACTCAAAATGCAATTTAAAGCAAGAAAAAAAAATTTTATTAAAAAAAAAAAACTTTTGAATATTTATGCTTTAAATAAATAAATAAATTATGATTCTGCACTGCTTTAGGTCACTATTTACATAAGCAAATTTCATCTCAAATGTATTTTCACTGAAACCGAATGATAAAAGCAGTCTTATATAACGGTCTGGTTATAAAGGACCCGTATGAAAGCAGCCTGTGCACAAAGATCCCTTCATGAGAAGCGTCTCTGGTATCAGTGGAGCTCGTATTATTGGCAGCGGAGAGCCTCCTAATATGACTCAACTTTAATTAAAAGTAGATGCAGATGAGCCACAGAATGCTTTACTGAGCCACAGCCTCCTCCTCATCCACACGCTTTGACCAGATCATCAAACCATCGTCTGAGATTCACATTCTCTGGAGTATGAAAAAACACACCCGGCAAAAAGATCCAGCCTCATTTGAACGAAGCACAAACAACAATGTGGTTTTGATGCGTTAGACTCAAAAAACACATTTGATTCAGACATTAAAATGCTTTCGAACACATCTCAAATGCTTCCAAAATCCATTTGCATCCATTTTCTGTGAATCAGCGCCGGTCCAAAGCAAACAGACCCGGGGCTTAATTAGAGGCTGGATGTAATTGCATGTTGCTGCTTTGAAAGAGGGTGGAGGCGTCTGTCCAGCCTTCATTACTGGCACGCAGGTAAAACCACAGCAGCAGACCACGAGGGAGGAACAGGAAGTGGCAGCGCTCTCGGTTTAAGACTTCCTGTGCTGCAGCTGTAATGTAAACACAGATCTTACCAGAGACTCGGGGCAGTAACTGGGCAAACGCAGGAGAAGGTGCTTCAGACGCGATTCACTCCTGATGGTCGCGAGCTGCAGACAGAAGAGAGGAAGAAATGCACGTCTGGTTTAATAATCAGCAGCACAGATGAAGCTCTCAGTGACCCTTCTCTTGGAAGGACCTTCATTTGGGTGTGATTCATTGCAATTCATTTGATTAGCTCAAACAGTAGCATGTATGAATTTGGAAAAAACATTTGGAAACAGTCATTAGTTTTGCAGTCCTATCTGCTGTGTGCAGAAACATTAATGCACATATCTATGCTGTTCTATACTGATTTCCATACAGTCATGAATAGACATTCAGTGTGCAGTAATTATAGCCTATTATTGTCACGCAAACTGTGTTGATGAACTCTCACGAAGATGACGAGGAAGGTTTAACAGTCTTTAATTAACTCACACACTCTCACACACTCACACTCACACACACTGATACACACACTCACACTGA